TATGTCCGACATAGATATTATAATGTCTAAAGCTTTTGAAGAAAAACACAAGCCACAAAAGGGTCAGGCTAATTCTTACAGCACCCATGTGGAGGTTAATATGTAAATTTGTTAAAACAAAACATCAACCCTCTCCCTTTGATTAATGTTAACATACAGTATTTACCTTTCGTCAAGCACAGCTAAATTAGATGTATCAGAAGGGGAAAGGCGACGTCTCTCTGTGTTTTGTTGGTAACATTTTAGAACTTCTTCTACAAACCCACCATTCTGTTCCCGCGGCTCCCATCTCTCCCCCTTCTGAGGATCTGGAGATATATCCAGTCTAGGTGATATCTGAAACAATGCCTGGTGATCTGCTTTAAGAGGTAGCCTATTTAGGAAAGAAAATGGAAAATGTATTCCTACTTACCATAATTTTATTTACCTGGTCATAGGTCATGGCAGAGCAAAAATGGGTATCTCCTCCCTATCCCTAATTGGACAGGAAGTATATTGCAAAAATAGGATGTTGAAGTGTGGTATAACCAAAAAAAACAGAAGAATATCAGCAATATAATCTAGTGCTGTCTTGTATACCAAGCTGCTATATCTCCAACAGCAGACAGAATGTTGAATCAAAGTAGAAATTCACAAAGCGCTAGTTGGTTATAAGGGTCCACTAGTGCAGCCCATATTAATTTGCAGAGCTTAAGAATCCATAAGCGATTTCTTATGCTCTGCAATTATATATGGGATGCACCAGTGGGCCCTTATAACTAAGTAGTGCTTTGTAAATGTCTACTTTGATTCCTTAAACTAGAAAAATGGTCAGAGTTGTGGCAACTGACATTTAATGTGGATAAGTACAAGATAATGCATCCTGGACGTAAAAACCCAAGGGCAGAGTACAAAATATTTGATAGAGTCCTAAGAATGCTTGGTTGTATAGGGAGAGGTATTAGCAGTAGAAAGAGGGAAGTGCTCATGCCATTGTACAGAACACTGGTGAGACCTCACTTGGAGTATTGTACACAGTACTGGAGACCGTATCTCCAGAAGGATATTGATACCTTAGAGAGAGTTCAGAGAAGGGCTACTAAACTGGTTCATGGATTGCAGGATAAAACTTACCAGGAAAAGCTAAAGGATCTTAACATGTATAGCTTGGAGGAAAGATGAGACAGGGGGGATATGATACAAACATTTAAATACATAAAGGGAACCAACACAGTAAAGGAGGAGACTATATTTAAAAGAAGAAAAACTACCACAACAGGACATAGTTTTAAATTAGAGGGACAAAGGCTTAAAAATAATATCAGGAAGTATTATTTTTCTGAGAGGGTAGTGGATGCATGGAATAGCCTTCCAGCTGAAGTGGTAGAGGTTAACACAGTAAAGGAGTTTAAGCATGCGTGGGATAGGCATACGGCTATCCTTACTATAAGATAAGGCCTAATGAAAGTATTTAGAAAATTGGGCTGACTAGATGGGCCGAATGGTTCTTATCTGCCGCACATTCTATGTTTCTAATTAGACAGGAACCTAATTAAGACAAAAGGTATAGGAAACTGCTCCTAGCTCTCCACCCTCATTCTTGTTTCCTGCAATATCCCAGAGCGGGATCTTTGTGCTGGCATGGCCTATGACCAGCAAATGAAAATTACGGTAAGTAGGAATACTTTTATCTATGGCAGCACAACAATGATTAATACCCAAGCAATAACCAAGGGAGGGAAAGATATACACAAGACTTCCAAATTATAAAAGCAATTATAAAAGTGTCAACACACACATCATAAGGACATTGGGAAAAACTGACTGATCACTATTACCACATTATCAAATTGACCAACTCAAATGTACCCAAAAAAGTTTGAAAAAGTATTGGTTGAAGACCAAGCAGCCATTTTACCTGTAAGTTCCAGGGAAACTTGACCACTAACGCTCAAGAGGGAGAAAGGGCTCTAGTGGAGAGCTTACAGACCTTCAGACCTACTGTAACTCCTAGTGCTTAGTAGCCTGAAATTAGCCAACACTATCCATTTACTGATGGCTTATATAGAGGCTTGAAGACCTCTCCTGGTCCATAAAGAAAGATAAACAGACTATTAAAGAAAGCCAGATAGCGGATCTATAGAAATAGATCCTAAGACCTATATCTAGGACAAGAGGAAAGTATTTTATTTCTGACTCTTCAATCTAATCAATAGGCTTTTAGAGCTGGAATAATAATGTCTTTGTTAATATGGAGAGATGTCACTTGATAACTAGATTCAGGAACAGGATTGAGGATTATTTTATATTGTGAAAAACAGTAAAGGTTCTATGCAAAATAGTGCTTGAAGATCTGATATCCTTCTGCCCGATCCTAATGTCACCAATCGAGTTATCTTAATACTAAGCAATGGAGGAGATAGTCTCATCGTTAAAAGGGGTGAAGATTTCAGAGCCCTTAAAAAAAAAAAAAAATGGGAAGAATTCCCCAGTAAGTTAACTAAGGGATCATATAAATACAGCCAACAGATATTTAGATACCTCCATATCAAAGCCCCTTTACGAAAAAAGAGATCAAATAGGGCTAAGACTTGTACCTTTTGAGGTGACGTGGCTAGGTCCTAGATGAGTCCTGGATTGAAGTACTTTAGAACCTCCTTGAATGATTACCTACTTATAAATAGACCAGAAATAAAGGCATCCCAACTTTGCAAAGGTAGCCGAGGATATAGAAAGGTATTAGTTACTGCACCTGAAAAACCCTTATAATTTAAGCCCTACTTTGCAATATCCAAACCATTACATGGAAATAAGCATCTATAGGCAAATCTATAGACACCATCCAATGAAGTAGAAATACTTCCTTTATGATGAATGTTCAAGAATCCTGTAACTTACTTAGATACAGAATGGATCTCCATCTGCTTATTAGAAACAGAATCTTTGTATTCTAGCTGCTTTTGAAATGTCTCAGGAAAGCTCCCTGTAATTGAAGGGAAGCCATGAAATTTACAAGCATCTATTTTTCCTAGTCCCTTCATCTGGTAGAAGACTGACCACTTCTTAGTTTGAGATCTACCAT